TTGATCCGGCTTCGCAACTTCGATCATTTGAAATGCTTTTCTAATGTCAGAAATGACACCAATTTTCTTTTCGCGAAATCTCAACAGAATTGCAGGTATGAGCTCCAATAAGTTCGGTCCTTTCTCCAACAAATCATTCAGTGACGGGTTTCTTCCATTCTTACAGGAAGCGTCATAAACGGGACGAACTGGAGTTGTGTTGCTCTCTAATTTGTAAACTGGACGGTGGGGCAGGTAATGACAAGGCCTGTCCACGCCTCCAACTACTTCTTCAATTAATCCTTCCTTCTCCCAATCTTGAAATACTTTATCATAAAGTTCATAATTTCCTGACTCTCGTAATTTTGTAGTAGTGGAAATTAACCTCTTCTCCGCGACGACCTTGTTGTCGGGAATGGTCCTTTCTTCATCAACCCAGGGAAGCGCCACGGCGTATCTTCCTTCTTTAGTTCTTGAAACTGTTCTCAAAAAATGCTTCTTCTTCCTTTTCATTCTTGGTTTTATGCTCGGTAGGATCAGTGATTCCAATTGTCTCCAGCTTCCATAAATCCTGGACACATGCTTCTGCATTGAATAATGAGTGATGAATCGTCATCACTCCCATGCTGACTTCTTTTCCTGGGACAGGTCCACTCAGGGTCCATCCAAAAACAGTCTCCACTGCGACAAGACCACACGATAACATTAACGGTCTGCCACACACAAACTGTCCCCAATAATCACTTCCAATTAATAACTCGATGTCCGGGTGGTCCACATGGCTCATCTCAAAATCTGACAAAAATATCTTTTCTTCAATTCATTCATCCACGGACCGGCCGGAATTCTTGGTATGTCTCCACAAATAGTTGGGGACTCCCTCAAAATAACGTCTCTCTTGAATCGCCCATCGAGGCTTTGAACTTGCACCTTAAATTTCTTAATTTTCCTTGGCTCCGTCAGAACCCCACCAAACAGAACATTACAGTCCATTCTTCTCCTACGAGAGGACTCCCGATTGCAGAGATCGTCCTCTGACCACCCCTGCTCTGCTGGCTTCCCTCGTCGAACAGCAACCTCACTATTCTTGTTCCTTTAGGACCAGCCATTTTCACCAACAACGTCTTCATCAGTACATCTTTGCTGCAAGAATGGTTGGCATTTGCTGCTGTCGCTGGGACCTCATTATGTACCTCTTCTCTTCCGGTATTGTTCCTCTGATTAGAAGGAAGTCTTGCACACATTGATCTTGCATGGGGCTTGCCGCAAGATGAACATTTTAATTTAACTTTGCAATCAGATTTACGATGTCCATATTTCAAACACCGATAACACAAATTCTGGCTTCTTATCAGGTCACTCTTCTCTGAGCAACTCATCCTATCCGCTCGATAACACTCGGTACTTGGATGGTTGGATTTGGAGCAAAACACGCAATTGCTGCTCTGCGCCACGAACAATCCTGCTGCGGTTGGGATTGAATCTTTCTTCTTTCCATGATTTTCATATTTTTCTTTCTTGGACTTGCCAGAAGAATCACCTCCAATAAACATCTTCAGTTTTGCTTCTCGTTCCACTTCCTGTCGGACGAACTGCATTAAATAGTCGAGTCTTGACCTTGGTGGGTTAACTTTCGCACCATCTTCCTGGTACAATGGAGATCGATACCAGGCATTAAATATTTCCTTAGGTAGACAGGTCTCAATAATGGGGCGAAGAAACAATGTATCTCTTTCAGACTTCACTCCCAACGACTCCAACGCCTGCAGCTGCGTTTGAAGACGATCATAAAACTTCTCCAATGATAACCTCTCTTTCTCGAACAAAAACTGTGCCAGCTCTTTTGTATATAGGTCAACTAGGATATCTTCTTTCCCGTACCTTTCTTTCAATGCTCCCATAGCTTTCGGATAATTTGCATCCGTCTTCGGATAGCTTCTGATAAGATCCGCGGCCTTTGACCCGCTGACCATACTCTGCACTAAATAATGGAACTTGTCCGTCACATGTAAATCTTCATCTTCATCAATCTTCTTAAATTGCGCCCACCACTCCAGCCAGTTCTTGATCTCCCCGTCAAACTTCATTAACTCGATCTTTGGTAGCTTATAATTCTTCTTAAGAAGTCCTCCACTAGCAGTGCTGTAAGAACTATTTGTCGGGCTTGATGATCGTTCTGGACCAAGGAATTTTTCAACTTTGTGGCGCACAAATCTACACTTATCATTGTATCCATCAATTGATCTTGATTCTTCTAAATAATCTTCTTCAGTAAGTTCTTCATTGTCCAGAATTGCATCCAATACTTGCTTATCCAAATCCACCGCGGTGTCGGTAAGCTCAATCAACTTCTTCAACTTCACAATCAGGACGTCCTTATCTTTATCTTCTTTCGTCATTTCCTCATCCAGCTCGTTGACCGTCCTAGTCATCATGGCTCGAATGGGTGTGCGCTGCTTCTTTAGACGATCCATCCTGTCTCGAACCGAATAAAGCCAGCAAAGAAAAAACAATTAGTTTAATCTACTCTAAAATTCTCCAAAAATATCGACGATCCCACCTAGGTAGGCTACGCTCAAGGCCGTAGCAAACCGTAAATTCAATTTTTACAATTGATGCAAGATCCACACGGGTTGCTCCTCCCACTCGACCTCTGAAATCAGTCCTCGGTGATAATGACGGGGCGGTCCACTCTTGTCCTTCTTGCTTAAAAACTGCAATCCTCTCACTCGTCCTTTGCTTCCTCGAGGGGATGATGGATGCACTCAATCACTTGACACTCACAGATAAATTCACTGCACTGTAACAACGACCTCAATCACGTCGAGGTCACCAAATGTTGTAAAACCAAACTAACTACCAGCTTGAAAGGTTCTACTTGTTAAAAAGATTGGGTCGTTGCTTAAAAAATACTACTACTGTGGTGTAAATGAAATTTGTATAAAAAACTCAAACTTTAATTTTACTCCAGTCGAGCAATAACAAATCAATTTATTTAATTATTTCAATTCAATTAAATACTGGACAAAACTTTACTGACTTTCTTCTCTCTCGCATACATACATTCACCTACTGACAAAAGAAAGATCTGGAAAAATGCTGATACCACCAGCGCTCAATTTAAATTCTAGGGGAAAAATAAGACTATGAATTCAAACACTTTGGGTTTGATTCAGCCATTATGACAAATTTAAATTTGGCGGATTGTAAGGTTGTGTAGATTGCGGTCGGGAACTTAATCATAGTAACGCAACGTTCCAATTTTATTTACCTTTGTACGAAATTACATGTTACCCGAGATTCATTTAATTACCAGGTACTACTGGGATAATTCGCCTGCGTACGTTACCCAGCGAGGCTCAAGAAATGTCGCCCTATTCTCCCAGAAGGATACAGCATTTGCTTATTTTCTCCAAATACAAAATGCAGTCTTGAGGGGACGGTATGAGTGCTTTCTGATTTGTGATATTGCTCTAAACTACGGCCGGTTTTCCTTGGTGTACTCCATGCTCAGAGTTGAAATTGGGCAGACAATCAACGCCCTGGACCGGGGAGGATTTCCAAATTTGTGGAATCGTCAATTAATGCATTTGGCTAGGTTGCAAGCGATGAAATTTCCCAAACTTCGAGAGGCATCACCCTATATTTCTATGAACATGTTGTCGTCCTTCTGCTACACTGTGGGAATAACGATGATCCTCCTTGGAGTACTTTACTTAGCAGAAATTATGTCCGACGAAGTAATACGAGAGATAGTGTGGGGCTGTTTAAAAAGATTTGTCACCTTTACCATAATTTATGTCTGTATTGGATTTAGCAAGTTCGGCAGGTGTTTTGCAAGTAATCTCTTGAGAGTTAGGAAATTGGTAGTGAAATAGGTTTGATTGTACGCTTAGCGTATTGATGACTAAATATTCCAACCTTTGGTTTGGATATAGGTATTAGTCTTGTCGTCGAGATTTACATAATTTAAACAAATATATGAACTTTTAATGATAATGGAATTTGCATGACATGATAAATATGAGATTTTTGTATGGTTTTGAGACTGGAGTCCGGTAGGGAAATTTTAACCGGCTCCAGTCTGCCTGCGGATAATTGAGTTTTGTTCACATTTTCTTTCTCTCAATTTGTATTTTTTGAAGTTTGGACCTCTCCTCTCCTCCTCTTTAATTTAATTAACTTCGAAGGTGTTCCTTTGTAATTGGTCGAGAGGAGGAAAGGAGGATGTTCCTTTTTGTAAAGTAGCGTCGCTTTTTGTGTGATATTCGTGCACAATTGTGAAAATTAAACAGTGTCACTCCAGCTCTCAAGATAACAACACATATTTTATCCTCGTCTCCTTAACACTCTAAATTTGTAATTGGCTTTTGTGTGATAATAAATGACACCGCAAAGTAACTAATTGTGACCACGCCGCCGCTTCTTTGCACAGTTTTACGGCACATTTCACCATCGCAGTTACACAAAAGTCACACCGCACACAAATAAACATACAGCTCTCTCAGTTTAAAAACTACAAGTCTTGATATTAATTTATTTCCACATTTTTACAAAATGCCATAGATTTTTACAAAATTGGAACTCACTACTAACAATGTATGTAGGTCTCGCAAGGTATGCTCACAGATTTTGATCAAATTAGTGTAAATCGGACAAAAATTTAATTAGTACACTCTTAGGAACTTGGTATTGAAAAAACCTAACGTTATTGATACGTGACTCTACCGCCTTGGTATTCAATGGCTATACCATATTGGCATAGAAGCGGTATTGAAATTATAACTCATGGTAATAATTTTATATTCAAAATTTCAATAACTACTTATTTTATCCTGATTTTTTGAATAAATGAATATTTAAATAGTCAATATCTATTCAATTCGTGTGAATACATAATAAATGAATATTTTTTTCCTCATTCATTTTTATTAACTAAATACTTAATACATATGGAAAGTTGAGAAATTCATCTAATTCTGTGAATTTTGAATAACCTGAATAATGAAGGAGGGGTGAATAATGAACAAATATTGAATAGTTAATGAATATTTCTTTACAAATTATGAATAAAGGAATTAAGGCTTTGAATGAATAAATATTTTTTGAACGGGTATGGTTATTTCTCCATGGTGTGTCTTCTTCGACAGTGTGTGCTCAGGTCTCTAAAATCGAAAAACTTATATCCACAAAAATAGCATCGGTATTTCTTCACACGATCGTGCACCTGCTGGGAATGTCGGGAAAGGCTGGACCTTGACCAGAACTTGAAGTGGCATTTTTCACATGGAAAATTAGGCGATGCGTTTGTGTCATGGCTTGTTTTCACGTGATACTTTAAACCTCCTGTGGTTTTGAATTTCTTATCGCAAAAAGTACATTGGAAGACTCGATTTCCATGGGAACGGTTAGTATGATGGCGAATTCCAGCCTCAGATATAAACGTCAAGGGACACAGGGCACATTGGAAGATTTCACGGGTAGATTTATGTTGATGGATTTTCTGCAAAAAAACAACGACAATTGATTACATGTAGCCCACTTTCGACTGTTTTAATTATTGAGCCAACTCACGTCAACCTTCGCATGTCTCGAAAATTGAGCATAACAACATATGTAACTTGCGAAGTTTTCACAAAAATTTTGTTAGAAAACGATGGGATTTTTTTTTCGCAAATTTACCCAGCAATTGGGCATGTTCGTATTTCGCAAAATTATTTCACAAACCCATCCTCACCTATTTAGTAGGAGAAATTAAACAAATCCATGAAAACAATACCAAAATGAATGTTTTTCAGAAGATTTGCGGGATTACAGAGATTTGCGAAGTCATATTTTGCAAATCCCCTAACGACAGAAATATTTTGCTCTTTACAAGTTTGCTAAATGAATTGGAGCGATGCTAAATAAGATGTTGTCGTGAGTACGCTCATTATTTAGGTACATACGTGGTGGTTCTTGAGATTGGCAGTACATGCAAAGCTCTTCTCGCATGTCGGACATTTGTAGCATTTTTGCGTCGTGTGAGTACCAATATCGACGAGGAGGTTCTGCTTAGTTTTAAACTGCTTGGGACAAAGTGTGCAGTTAAACCGGACCGGGTTCGTGGCATGTTCCATGTTAAAGTGTCTTTTGATAAAGCTTTTTCCCAGAAATGATTTCCCACAACCAGGCACCGTGCCCGGGTAGCGTGGTCGTTCCTCCACGTGGGTGTGCATCCTGGTCATGTGATCTCGTAAATGCGATGCTCGACTAAATTGTCGCGAACACATTTTACACATATGTTTGGGTTTATTGGAATGAACTTCTCTAATATGCCGACCAAGCATGTTCCGAGATTTTAAGGTTTTTCTGCAAATCTGGAAATAATTAAACTTATTAATCTGTCAAGTGAATTAAGGTGAATCATTTCCGCGCGTCTTATTCCGCCCCATGTGTCGTGTTTCCTTATGGAGAACTTAAAATTAACTTTGGGCGTTAATATTCGATGAAATTTAAATGTTATTACTTTAAAATATTCTCCGTTTGTAACTAAACAAAACTGTAGATTAGATTTTTGAAAAACATATTCCTTCCTCAATAATTCATTTTATTGCCCCGCACAGGAAAGGAATTAATTTTTTCCTAAAATCTAATCTACAGTTTTGTTTAGTTACAAACGGAGAATATTTTAAAGTAATAAGATTTAAATATCATTTAATATTAACGCCCAAAAGTTAATTGTACATAAGTTCTCCATAAGGAAGCATGACGCATGGGGCGGAATAAGACGCGCGGGACGAAGGTCATCTTAAATTATTCACTTACTTACCTGGCACTTAACGTGAACATTATCGTCATGAGTGACACAGTGCCGGGTAAGATACTTCTTTGTCTTGAAACTTTTTAAGCAGATGGGACACTCGTAGTTTTTTACTTGGTTGGGGTCCATTATAAATTTGATATATGAAATTATATCATACACTGTAAATAATTTTGAGACAAATCGTCACCCGACGGAGGTACTATACTGCTCTATTTTTGGGTAACGATTACGGAGACGTTTGGTCACCAACGGGAAATAAGTCAAAAACTCGTGCACGAAACACGCGTGACGTCGTAAAAAGCTGTGAGCATTTTTATTTGACCATATGATTTTTAACATGAAAGTATTGCATTTTTTTAATGGCGACGTCACGCGTGTTTGATACACGAGTTTTTGGCTTATATCCCGTTGGTGACAAAACGTCTCCGTAATCGTTACCCAAAAATAGAGCAGTATAGTACCTCCGTCGGGTGACGATTTGTCTCCAAATTATTTAGAGTGGTAAGTAAACTGCTTAGATTTTATGTATATCGTATCGGTGTGGGTTATATGTATCTAAATGAGTGAATTTTTAGGTAGACTAATTACCACGTTTATGATATTCATGAAGTAAAACTTTGTTGAACACAGTGGTTAATAACAGATATGTAAGCTCAGAATTTACTTTGTCGGTTATAAGAATTAGGTTAACAGAAGCACTTTTTTGCTTTTGCATAAGGATATTTGCTAAATGGTTTAAAAAATATGAGTTGCTTCGAGTTGTAAGAACTTGAACAAAATACCTTGGCTTTCCCTAACGTGATCCAGATATTGGAGAAAGAGGAGTGAAAAAGGTCTAAATAATAGAAGTATTTATTGCTTGCAACAGACGACGAGCAGAAGGCAAAGTTGACACGAAGATTTTATTCAATGAAAAACTGGGGCAAAAAAATGTTCGGAGGAATAAAGACAGATGCGTAAGATATAGCATACCCTTCAAGGGTGATCCATAAATTATGTCATGCAAAAATTACGACCACGAATTACGAATTTTCAGGACCTCCACCCCATTAAGATGTGTCACATATAATTGGAACCCTTCGGGTAACATAATTTATGGACGGTCCCTAATAAGCAAGGTAAATATGACGGACCCAAACCGTTACATCAGAACTTTGTGTACATATGTATCCACACGGATGAAGGTGCCTGTCCCAATCACAAAGGTTTGGCACCTTAATAAATATCAATTGGGTCGGTCGTAAATTGCGAAGTGCAAGAATTTCCTGTTCACTCCATTACCTGAGAAGGACAATGGATGAATGAAACTCCCTTAAAACTGGTGAACGAAATCCGTTCTCTGGTGGTTTTCATGCAGTGAGAAGAAGTGTAGTGGCATTATTTTTATTTTTTAGTTTGAGTTATACTTTTCATTTTGGGATTAAGGACTATTTGACATGTGGGACTTAAATTAATGCGGGATTACGATTAAATTTTGGGTAGTTTTCCTTGCCTTGGAATGAGCTTATGTATGTTGGCCTGAGTTGGATTACATAATTATGTGGCATGAAACTTTATTATGCCAGGCTTTTAAATTAATTAAAGAAATACACTTAAATATGTATCTAAAATTAAAATTAAATAAAATCGGATGTCCAAGTAATAAATAAACATTCATTGGTGTAATTTATTAGCGTCGCCATTTCTTGAAAATGTTTATGCATCGATCTAAGGCAATGAAAAAATTAATAAACCCGTGACCATTATTCCGGTGGAGTTTCAGTTGTTGCGTCCGACGTCTCCTCAGCTTCTGTGGTGCTGTCGTCTATTTGAATACAGGTAAGTTATAAGAGTGCGCTGTTCAAGGTAAGGAAAACCGCGGGGTTTTACTATTGAAAACCCATACCCAGGGGTTTTACCTGGGTTTTGCGGGTATTCGGGGTAATCGGGGTAATCGGGGTACCGGGGGTAATCGGGGTAGTCGGGGTTTGGAGGTAAACTAATCCTATGTCAAGTGTCATGTATTAAGTTGTAAAAAAAAATTTTTACAACTATAAATATTTCTTTTTTAAATATGCTTTTTCCATAATTTAGCTGCAAAACTGCTTGCTAATTCAATTTTAATTTGCAATTCATTTGTTGAATTTTTAATAATGTACTGTTACCATACTTTCTGAAATTTGGAAACCCCGACCTCTCCGGCTACCCGTGGATATTGGTAAAATTTGCAAACCCAAACAAAACCCACCAAAAACCGCAAAATCTCAAAACCTACCGGAATCCACAAATCCCATAAAATCCCAAAACCCATCAAAACCCCAAAAATTCCAAAACCCACCAAAACCCGCAAAACCCCAAAAATCCCAAAAGCCCCAATACTCCAATACCCCAAAAACCCGGTGTAGAATCCCTTGGTTTCTGAAAGATTACTTATAACAAATCTGGGGGGCTATACATAAATCTTAAGGCTTACCCCGCTTACACAAATTGTTCTACGTTCACCCCAGAATTATATATCAACAACATGGTTTCTCTCACCTCCTCCGATACCGGCCGAAACCCCAGAGACGAATCCTTTCACAGCGTCGGCCGCCATTGAAGCCGCGTCCAACGCCATTGATGAAGCGGTTTCTAGGGAAATCTCAAATGTTTAAATTGTTCTTTGCGGTCCGAAAGAATATATTTCTGCCCTGTTATACCGTACAAACTGGAGAGAAATCCTCGACCATGTTGGGCTGGGAGAGAACAGGTTATTATTTTAAAATATTCATGACGACATAATTATCATAAATCCATATTTACATATCCGTAACTAGAGTATCGTACTATTGTCAAAATTAATATTTCCATCAGAGTATAAATCGAGGTCGGGCATTTACCATCTCGTAATCTCCAGTTGCCAGCTAACTCCTCACATTTATAAATGAATGAATGAATGAGGGGACAGACACAAAGAATATGAGTAATTTTTATTCAATGTAAAAAATATTGTTTTTTTCAAAAAACACCCTCTCGGTACCTTCTCCCCCTCAGGAACCATTTCTCCCAGCCGCACCCCCTCCCCGCCAAAGGCTGTGTAATGCGGTTGGGGGAGCTGCTCCCGCAGCGCGCACTATGTTGAACCAATTATCTCAGTAATTATACTTATAAAAATCAATAACTACTAATGTAGTTAGTACTAACTACATTAGTAGTTATTGATTTTTTCGATAAAATTTGTTTGTTACAATTTTATTTTATGTAAAAAAACGTCGTGTTATGTGTGTTTGTCCCCCTGCGTTGCCATTACGCAGTTTCCAATGCTGAGAAGGCTTACGGCAGCTACAGTATAGGCAGAAAGTCATTATACCCTCATACTTTATGTATATAAAGGCTCATATTGTTCGAGAAGCTTGAGAGGATGAACTGCAATTTTGCACAATTACTTACTATGATGCAAGGTTTCCGGAACCATACTTTGGATGACGGCGTGGCACAAGCAACGACAGGGTGGAATTATATCCAAAATTCCGACAAGAAAAAAGTCTTTATACCCCGGTTAAAATTTCATGAAACATTTGTTCAAAGTATTCTGTGCTAAATAACAGTCAAATTAGCATCTGGGATGCCGACCTCGATCCTTCAGGAAGGCAAGGACACAACTTCGAAGCTACCCAAGAAATGATATTGTGAAAGAAGTGTCGAAATTCTCCAATTCAACCTATTTGGCGTCGACCAGTCTTTGAAGTTTGATGGCGTGCGCTGGAAAATTTTTGACTTCACCGTTGACCAGAAATGCGTATTAACATGCTGTCCGATAATTATGGATGGCAATTCAACCATTTAAACTCCTTTGTTGTAAACCAAATCTTCAATAATTTTGATGTATGCTTAGAATTGCCTTACTATATGAAAATATTATGATTCCCTAACGGTTATTTCCTCCCGTTGCCATCAAACTCCAACCCAGAACGTCGCAGTAGTAGTTGGAGTACATGAATACTTCGCTGGAATTAAAGGTTCGGACGCCCTTCCACAAAGTCACGCCCAAACAATTCGATTTCCACCCCCATCCATAATGCTTAGCGTACGGTAGTTGGTTTTATCAGCGTCTCTTTGCTGAATCCATATTCCACTGGTTCCAATTTGAACCAAACAGGTTGATGTTGACGTCGGCGAACAATATCAGGCGTTTCTAACGTTTAGCCATCCAATTATCATGATTTTTAGCCCATTTAGAGCTGTCTGCAATATAGGCCTCGCGGAGAAGTAGAATTCTCCATGTTGCTCGCTATTCCAATCCATCTTAAGCGATCCTACCCTTTGTAATTCGCACAGAAACTCGAAGATTATATTCTTCCCTCGTTTCCAAGTTGATTTTTGGTGAAGATAACCGTGAAACCTTTGACTTTTGGAGAAGTTGCTCTGATCCGTCCATGGGCGTGTGCTCCATGGCCATGAAAAAGTTGTTAAATTCCATACCGTCCCAAGTTTTTTGCAGTTCTGGACTATTCTGGCAACTGTACCATTCTTAATGGGTAGTTAGTCGGAAATTCTTTGGTGTCGAAGCCTTTCATCATCAAAATCTAG